GATAGCACCACATATGTTGCACCACGTGGACTGCACACCATCGTCAGCCCCACAACTATCGCACAACAACTAGTGCACAAGGTATATGGGACCACATGTTTTGCACCACGTCGATTGCACCTCATACGTGACATCCCGTATATTGCACCAAGTCGACTGCCCCACATCGATTGCACCACGTCGACTGCACCACGCAAGCTGCCTTGCACATCGGCTGCGCCACATAGTTTCCACCACATCGTTTGCTTCAAATATAATGTAAAACGCTTAGTGCACCACAAATACAGCACCACCACACAGGTTGCCAACGAGTATTGCAACACACAGACTGCACAATACACCTGTATACATATATATATACATACATATATATATATATATATATATTAGAACCACGCGCGCGCGACGCACGCGCTTAGGTTCTAGTCGCAGATGAGCCACGGGTGCCGCGAAAGCCCCGCTGTGGCCACAACGACGATTTCCAGCGTTCTCGGGCCCATGCAATCGACGCAAAGAAACCCGTAGTCAGAACGCGGGGCGCCACGTTCCCGCGCAACTCACAATCTCGCTGCCGCCCTTGTTTGGTTTATCGAACTGCGTTTTTTTCTCCACTTTCACTTCCGCTCTGCCCTGTCGTGACACTCGATGTTTTTGCATATGTGTTCGGCCTCCCCATGCTCGATCACGCATACATCCGCCAGCGCCTGCTGTTGGGGTTGGCTCGGGGCCTCGTTGCGCACGCGTGGGAGCGCGTCGCTGTTTGTCTCTCTTCCTTGTGCTCCAGGCTTCTCGTTGTCTGCGGTCGTTCAACTGTCGGGTATCTGCAAAGGGCGCGCGCAGATGTCCCGGTCATCAGTGCCCCTTCTCTGCAATCAATTGTTGTCGAACCCGTCCGCGGGAATGGGGAAACTTCCTTGTGCTGGACGCCAAACCTCATGCCGGCGATAATCGCACCCGTGGGAGCGCAAAGTTCGGGCTCACGAGGGATGCTCAATGATTTGCCTGGCAAGTCCCATGTATGGTGCTGCCTGGAGCTCTGACGGGGCCTCTGGCGGTACCTTCTTGGCGCTCTGGCGAGGCCTTTTCAGAAGATGAGGGAGGGGCACGAAACTTGAGACATTGTATAGACTAGCCAAACCCCGCTCGCTCGGGCGGGCCCGCCTTGCAAGGGTGGGAGGAGCAAGACTCGTGTGAAAGAATATGGTGTAGGGATGCCCTGCTCTCTCTGGCGGGGGTTTCCCTGGCGTTTTGGCGGGGCTTGTCCAGGAGGGGAGGGAGGGGCACGACACCTAAGGGAAATTATGGTATAGCCACACCCCGTGCGCTCTGACGGGGCTACCTCGAGTGCGGTGCGAGGAGCAAAACAAAACAGGGACAGCGAATGGCACAGCAACACCCCGCTCGCTCTGCCGGGGCCGCCCTTGAAGGGTGGGAAGGGGCAAAGGAACCTGTGAAATGATAGGTTATAGCGATGCCCCGCTCGCCCTGGCGGGTCCTGTCTGGCGCTCTGGCGGGGCCGTGCCAGGAGAGGACGGAGGATCACGAACGCTGAGGGGTGAGGGGAGGAAGAGGAAAGAGGAGGGAATGGAGGCAAGGGGAGGGGGCGGGAGGGAAGGAGGGACGGAGGGGGGGAGGCCCGGGCCATCTGGGCCGTCTTGGAGCGCCTTGGGGCCTCCCGCTCCCGCGCTGTGGCCCAGCTTGGGCCTGTCCTGGGGCTTTCCGGGGTCGTCCGGGGCTCCTGGGTAATTTTCGGGCTCCCTGGGGCCGTCTTGGGGCTCTGTTGGGTGCCTTTTCGGCGGTTTTGGGGCGATCTTGGGGGCGTCTTCTGCCGTATTCGAGCATTGGAAGCTCGAGAGCACGAGAAAGCGAAAAAATATCAAACAAACCCATGCAAATCAATGATGTGGGCCTCTTTGGGCTCTCTCGGGACGTCTCTCGGAGCTCTCTTGGGCCCTCTTGGAGGCCACTTGGGCCATATGTTTTCCGTCTGGAGTTCCTCTTGGGCCACGTCGGGATCATCTGGGCCGTCCTGGAGCTCCTCTGGGGCCCATCTTGTGCCTCTCCTAAGATTGTCTTGGGCAGTGTTCAGGCTCTCCTGGGCCGTCTTGGGGCTCTTTTTGGGGCCTCTTCGGCGGTCTTGGGGGCGATCTTTGGGGCGTCGTCGGTCGTCTTGGAGCGTTGGAAGCTCGAGAACGCGAGAAAGCGACAAACATATTAAAAACGACCGGACATCAAGGATATAAGCCTCTTCGGGCTCTCTCGGGACGCACCTCGGAGCTCTCTTGGGCCCTCTTGGAGGGCTCTTGGGCTGTGTATTGGCCGTGTTGGGCCCATCTGGGGCCACGTTGGGGCCATCTGGGCCATCTTGGAGCGCCTTGGGGCCTCACGCTCCCGCTCTGTTGCCCAGCTTGGGCCTGTCTTGGGGCTCTCTTGGGCCGTCTGAGCCTCCTCCCGGGCAATTTTCGGACTCCCTGCAGTCTTGGGGCTCTGTTGGTGGCCTCTTCGGCGGTCTTGGGGCGGTCTTGGGAGCGTCGTCGGCCGTCGTGGAGCTTCGGAAGCTCGAAAGCGCGAGACACCGAAAAACATAGAAACAAACATATGGAAATCAAGGATTTGGGCCTCTTCGGGCTCCCTCGGGACGCCTCTCGGAACTCTCTTGAGGCCTCTTGGAGGCCTCTTGGGCTGTGTCTTTGCGGCCTGGAGCCCTCTTTGGGCCACCTTGGGGCTTGGAGGGGCTGGTCGAAATCCCCCGGGGGCTTCTGGGAGCGTCTTGGAGCTCTCTGGGGCAGTCTGGGGGCTCCACGGCCCCTCCAGGGTGCTCTGGGAGCGGTCTCGGAGGCCCCGGTCCCCCATGCGCGCTCGGGTCCCCGGCCCCGGGCGCCGGGGCCTCTTGCGCGGGTGGCTCGTCAATTGAGCTATCGTGGGGGCTCCCAGAGGCCGTCTTGGAGCCATCTTCGGCGTGTTGGGGCGAGAATTCGGTGATTCTGGGCCCTCGGATGGCGTTTCGGGGCTGTCTGTGGCTGCCTCGGGGGGGGCCCAAAAGCCCCCTAGGGCCCTCTGGGACCGTCTTGGGGGCCTCCTGGATAGTCGAGGGCTCCTCTGGAGCTGTCTTGGAGGCCTCTTGGAACTCTCTTTGGCCGTTTTGGGCCGATGTTGTGGGCTCCTGGGGCCGTCTTCGACGCGGTCGGCGCCGAAGATGTGAGTATTGAAAAAATATACGTCTTCCGCGGGGAATGGGGCCACTTAAGCTTCTGGAGGCGCTCTTGGGAGTCCTCTTGGGGGGACTCTTGGGCCGTCGTGGGGGCTCCCGGAGGCCGTCTTGGAGTCATCTTCGGCGTCTTGGAACGACGATTCGGGGACTCTGGGCCCTCTTGGCCGTTTGGAGACCTCCTGGGGCCCTCGGGTGGCGTTTCGGGGCTGTCAGGGGCTGTCTCGGGGGGGGCCCCAGACGCCCCGGTCCCCCATGCGCAGTCGGGGTCGCCGCCCCGGGCGCCCCAGCTTCGTGCACGAGGCTATATCTCTCCCCCTTTTCTATATATACATATATATATATATATACACAAGTGGCACGTGTGTGCCCAGGCTCATACAAAAAACTGAAAGGGCGTTGGAAGCAGGAAGACACCATGACTGCAGCATCGGAGATGGAGAAGGGGAAGCTCGGGCGGCGCCGCCAGGGCGTGCCCAAGAGAAGGGGAAGAGGCAGGAGGTGAACGCAGAAGAATCTAAGATCGAGGTCGCACTCGAGCGCAAGTGGGGTTGCCACACCTTGCGATGTGTGTACCAGGACCCCCCAGGAACCCCCAGGAAGCCCGATTTGGATACCAGAAGAGGCTCCAGGAGGCCCCGGGATTGTGAGTGTTGTGTGTGTGATGTGTGCTGTGTTGTGCGTGTTTTCTGTGCGTTGTAGATGTGTGTGTGTGTGTGTGTTATGTTTGTCTAGCGTGTGATGTGTTGGGTGTGAGTTGTGTCTCTCTGTGTGCGTGTAGTTCTGAGGCCCCAGGAGGCCCCAGGAGGCCCCAGGCGGCCTTCGCCCAGGAGGCTCCAGGAGGCCCCTAGAGCCTCCAGGAGGCCGCAGGAGGCCCCAGGAGGCCGCAGGAGGTTCCAGGAGGCCTCCAGGAAGCTCCGAGGCGGGGTCTGGGGTCACCAGAACGCACAGAAAGCCCCAGGAGGCCTCAGGAGGTTCCAGGAGGCCCCCAGGAGCCTCCGGGGCGGGGTCTGGGGTACCAGAAGGTACGTCGGGGCTCGATTTTTTTGAGAGGATGTCTCAGGCGAAACCGCCATCCTCTGAGAATCGGAATCAAAATCATTGAAATTACCATGTGTGTTTTGAAGGTTTGATGTTCGAATGTTGAAATTCCCATGTGTTTTTTCGCGATCTGCGCGAGGGGTGCCACCGATATTCAGAATTTCGAGAACGTCCCTAGCGAAACGGCCAGAAACATCGCGAACGCGGCGCCCCGCGTACGCATTAATCGCATCTGAGCTCTACTCCCTTGGAGAGGTGCGTATGAGAATCTGTAGGTATTAATCATATATATATATATATATTATCACTCAAGAGCCGCTGGACGACGCGTCGGCGAAAGAAACTAGATGTACATGTCTGTGAGCGGCTACTGTGCCTCGGATCTCGACCACAGGCAGGTTTTGTGCAAATGCGCGCGAGGGTAAACAGCAACGCTCGCGTGCAGGAAGGGGCGAGACGTATAGATTGCACACTATACGTTCCACATCGTATTTGGCACCATGTGAACTGCACCACATAGAATGTCCAGCCTAGGTTGCACAACGTAGACTGCCAGAAACACCCCTTGGCGCAAGCACACCAAAAACATGACTGGCATGCCCAAAAACATGCGACTTCTTGTCGTGACTTAAGCCCGACGGGGGCGCGCCCATTAAAAGCCAGAGGCGATGGTGGTGAATTATGTCGTGGCGAAGGCGGGGGAATGGATGGGCAGCTTGTGCCTATAATCATTTCCCAACACCCTGCTCACCAACTCCGCGCGCATCACCGTGACGGGCGGTTCCTCCTGGACTGGCTCCGCAATGCCCCCCCCGAGTGCATCCTCGAACGTGTCTCTGGAAGGACCCAGCAAAGGCGACGAGACGCCCGCAGGAAGCACAAAAAGGACGAACAACATCAAGGAAGGCCGCCGATGTCTCGACCGGCCATCATCTCGAAGCGCACAATGGGTAGTTCGCGCAGCCCGCTCCTTGTCCGTCGACCGGGAACCAGACCTGCGGCTTGCAGGAAGGAGGGCGGCCGAGGAGGAGGAGGAGGAGGAAGAGTAGGAGTAGATGGAGCAGGAGGAGTAGGTGTTTGAGTCGGAGTAAGAGGATGAGGAGGAGGAGAAAGAGGAGGAGGAGGAGGGGCAGGAGAAGGAGGAGGGACGAGGAGGAGGAGGGGCAGGAGGAGGACGAGGAAGACGAGGAGGAAGAGGAGGAGGTGAAGGAGGAGGAAGAGGAGGAGGAAGAGGAGAGGAGGAATAAAAGAAAATGGGGGGCAGCAGTGGAAGTCGGGAAGGAACGAACGACCACCGCTGCGGACAAGCGCTTGGGCCTGTCTCAGACAAGGTGGGCGAGGCCGTGGCCTCTGTATTTTGGCGTGTCTGGGCACATACAATGCGAAACGTATACATAATTACGAAGAAAGGAAGAGGAGGAGGGTAAGGTAAAACGCGTTTGAGGCGAGTCCGAGCTGCAGCCTTTACACAGACAGCCGCGGAGTGTGGAGTGCCACTGCGAACGCATGGATGCGGGCCCTGCCCTCGCAAATGCCTGCCCGCGGCGGCCCCGGGGGGCCAAAATGAAGAAAGAACCGGGGGGGGGGACCCGCTGCAGGAGGCTCACTTGGAACCCTGTTTCAAAACAACGCGAAGAAGTGGGGCGCCCCTGGCCGCCTTTGGGTGCGAGGGGGCCCCGCCAGGCAAGGGAGGGAAGGCGACGGACGACAACTCTCGGAGAGAAGGGGAGGGGCGCCGCCTCGAAAATCAAGTCGTCGGGCGGCGGTGGTGGCGGCAAGGGTGCGGCGCGCGCGTCTGCGCTTGGGTGTCTCAGGCGGGGCGCGCGGCCAAACCCGGCCAAACCAGGCAGGTGTTGAGGATGTCTCGAGCAGAATCGCCAAAACCAGGCTCCATTCAGTACTCTCTTTGATCGAACTGTAATTCCAGAAGTGGATCACTCCAGGGCCCCTCCCGCAGGCGGAACTCTGTTTAGGATTTTACAGGGGGGGGCATTTGGACTGCGCGCCCGCTGATGCTGCCGGGGTTGGGAGTCTTCATTTGTCTTTCGGGTGTCGTTGGGGCCTTCGTGTCGCGTTAGGAGAAATAACTCCGAGCCTGATCAACTTCGGAGGATTTTTTCTCCCAGCGCCGCCACACACGCCCGTGTCGATTCACACCGCGTTGGAATTTGTCCACACCCATGCCGCCCGACATGTTAGCACAGCCGTGTTCAATGTGGGCCACGCAAAGTATTCATGACACCGTGCCACTACTCCAGTTTGTATACGCCACGACGTAGGTGGATTACCCATGCAGCGTCCATAACGGATGTTACTCTACCGTGCATACGTTCGTGGGGTTCTCTCATCGCCCAAGCCAAACCAGGCAACTTTTGCGGACGTATCAAGCGGCACTGAGGATCTTCCGACGACAGTCGCAAAAACCAGGCTCAATCCACTCTCCTTGATAGCATTCGAAATAACAGAGTGGATCATCCCAGTGCCCCCCCCCCGCAGGCCAAAAGCCCGCCTATAATTTTACGAAAAGGGCGTTTCGATCGCGCGCCCGCTGATGCGGCCAGGGTTGGGAGCGGGAGCCTTCAATTGTTTTTCGGGCGTTGTGGGGCCTTGGTGTGGCGTTCCGAAAAATATTTCCGAGCCAGATCAGTTCGGACATGTTTTCTCTTAACGCCAACACTCAAACACACACGCCCATGCCGATCCACAGCGTCTTGGAAATCTCCATGCCCATGCCACCCGCCAATTTCTCAGCGCAGTCGCGTTACATGTGGACCGTAATGGGCACTCATGGTACCATGCCATTCATTCGGTTTTTACACACCCACCACGACGTAGGTGGACTACCCATTCAATGTCAAAAAACACGTGACACATCCCACTGTGTGTTGGGACCACCGGGCGCCCATTACGGATGTTACTCTACCGTTCATACTTTCGTGAATTTCTTCGACGCTCAAGCTCAACTAGGCAACTTGTGAGGCCGTCTCAAGCGAAAGTGTATCCAAACCAAGCCAAACCAGGCAAATGTTGAGGACGTTTCGAGCGAAACTGAGCCCAAACCAGGCAAAACGAGGGCCAACCGCTGCTTCTTATCACTGGTAGCCTCTTGGCTGCAGTTCTGAGGGTTGCTGCAAATTTCATGGCCACCGGTAATGCGGCCGCCGGGGTTGCAACGAATACGATACCTGTGGCTGTCCGTGCTGTAATACTTTAGTCCACGGTCAAAACCCGAGCATTCCTAACCATTGTCCTTTTCTGTTTCTTCCGCCCAAACTCTGGTATGGTGTGCCCTGCTCCTCTCTAAACCTGCTGCTCCTCCTCTGCGAAGACCTAGCTATATGTTGATGTCGCTTCTGGCACGAACCATCCATCAGCATGCTACCCTGTCGCAATGCCGTTCAACTCACTCGAAAATGATCTGTGATGTTTGTCCACGCTGCTGGTAGCAGGCCGGTGGCAGTTAGGTAGCAACCATTGTCAGGTCGAGCTCTTTGCTGGGCAGTCGTATTCCTGTAGCCGTTACCTGCGTTGTTCCTGGCGGTATGTAGCTGTGCCTGAGCGCCGTCATGTCCATGTGTCGTGCAAACAGAAAAATGTGTGTTCCATCTGCTTGAAATAATCATCACCCTTTCTGCCATCCAGATTGTATCCCCCAATGGAGATTCAGATGCGTCGCCTGCGTTGATTCTAATCCAGCCCATGTGCGTGCAAATGTCACCACGTCCCATCCTCGCAGTCCCTGACTGATCTACTCCTGCCTCTCGATCGAACTGGCGGCCAGAGGGTTGTAGAAAGTGATATTCGTAGCCGCTGCGGTAAAGTATTGAAGAAAAGAACTTCCTACTGCCATCTTGTCTCACCCCTTTGCTCCTTCCATGGCCTGTGCGAGCAGTAAGGCAATAGTGTTGTGAATGTATGTTCGGTATACGTCCTTCATGATCGGTTCTCTGGTCTCGAGTGCCGACGGCGCTTTCACGAGGAAGAGGAGGAGAGGGAGGAAGATAAGGAAGAGAAACACGTTGGTGTCGGTGTAGTCGCGTGTGTCGTGTCGACTTCTCGCTATTGGTCTTGGGCACTTGCCCGTATGGGGCCCGTGTGCTGGTGCTCGAGCGTCGTCCAGGTGGTGGTGTCTTGGACTGTGCACACCCGTGTGATGTCGTTCGGCTGTCCTTGCGGCTGGGTTGTTGCGGGCGGTCGGTGGAGGTCTGGTCTGCACTGACGTACTGTAGTTGTTGATTTCGTCGTACCAGCGCTTGTGTTGGCCACCTTGCTGTGTCTGTCCGCGCTGGCGTGGAGTGAGGTCAAATTGCCAGTGACAGTGAAGCACTCACCATGTCCACATTGTGTGGTAGCGGTTTGAAAATCTTGAGACCGTTCGTCATGTCCTCCCCTTGCGCAGCGTCACCAAGCTGTCGATATGATGGGGCCTCATGGGGTGTTCTGCGCGTCGTGCAGCGCGCTAAATGTATTCGGCCCAAGGTTCCATCGCATCTGCGTTGGTGCTGTCTGTGTGGTCCTCGCTGTGCCGGTCAGGTGTAGCAGGTGCGTCGCGCTCCGGCAGGTTGCTGTCCACGTCGTCGCTGGTGCCGTTTGCACAGTTGTCGTTGCCTGGTAATTCGGTGTTTCTGCCGTCGAGGGCCGTGTTTCCCTCGCTGCAGGAAGATGAGGAGTAGCGGTGGAAATGACTGAGAAGATAGGGGGTAAGGAGGGAAGGACGAGGAGGGGGGCAAGCAGGAGAAGGGGAGGGAGAAGGATGTCGAGGAGGGGGTCAAGAATGGGGGGGAGGCGGAGGAGGAGGAGGAGGAGGAGGAGGAGGAGGAGGAGGAGGAAAACAACGATGAGGAGGCCGAGGGCGAGGAGGGCACTGAAGAGGCTGGCGAAGCTGACAGGCAGCCCCGCAGACCTGCTGCTGCTGGATCCCCGGGAGGGGCTCCGCGATGGCCTCTGAGCCATGGCCGCAGCCGGTGCGGACCGTAGGCCGGCGCCCGCCCTCTGGGCGTCGATCAGCGCCCCCAGCGCGGACTCGAGCCCCCTCGTCGTCGTCGTCGACGACGGCGTAGCATGTGTCGTTGTTTCGTGCTCCTTCTCCTCCTCCTCCTCCTCCTTCTCCTCCCTTTCGTCATCCTGGGCATCACCATCACCATCACCATCACCATCACCATCATCATCATCATCATCATCATCAGCATCATCATCACCATTACCACCACGATCATCATCATCATCATCATCATCATCATCATCATCATCATCATCATCATCATCATCATCATCATCATCATCACCATCACCATCACCATCACCATCACCATCACCATCACCATCATCATCATCATCATCATCATCATCGTCACCATCACCATCACCATCACCATCACCATCACCATTACCACCACCACCACCATCACCATCATCATCATCATCATCATCATCATCATCATCATCATCATTATCATCATCATCATCACCATCATCATCATCAGCGTCAACGTCATCATCATCATCATCATCATCATCATCATCATCTTCATCATCATCATCATCATCATCATCATACCGTTCTACCTGGCCTCCAGCGCGCCTTGCAACTCTCGTCCTTGCCCATCTGTCGCCCCAACCTGCCCACCCTCTCTCTCTCTCTCTCCCACACACACAAACACACACACACACGGACACAGACACACACGCACACACAAACACACACACACACACACACACACGCAGACACACACACACACACACACGCACAGACACACACTTTTTGGCAGTCGAGGCCTCGCGCACGGCGACGAGGCGAAGCAAGCCATGTGTCGCGGCCGAAACCTATGCCGGCGCCCGCTCACGCCAGCTCGCACACACCCACACACAAACGCAAACTCATGGTTCTTTTTATGATGCCCTTTTCTATATTTTGATAATCCAAGGGGGTGGGACCCCCCCGAAACGAGTCCCCCCGGATCCGTGGCACGGGTGGGGGGCGGAAACCCCTGCAACGCGTGCGCGCTGGCGGTTGGCAGTCCCAAATCGCTCGGCGGCAGGCCCAAGAGACCTTTAAGACATTCCAGGATGGCATCCAGCTAGCCTTGGCCCCCGCCAGATGCCCGAAGACGGCCCGAAGGTCACCCACAAGAGGCGTTCGAACCCAAATGCATTGATTTGTCATTGGTTTCTGTATGATCGCCACAAGGCGGCCGGCGAGACGCCCAAGACGGTCAAAAATGACATCATGTTGGCTGCCCAAAGGTGGCGCCCTAACGGCCAGGGGAGCCCCCCAACACGAACCCACTCAGCATTCTCACGCTCTCACTAGGCCCCAGGACCCAGGTGGCTTCAGACGAGTCCCAAACTGCTCATGAGCGGCTGCATGACGGCCCAGGGACGCCGTCTGCACGCTCCTCAACAGGCTCGCCCAGGAATTCCAGCTCTCCAAGGCGCCGTCTCAATTTTCACCCAAGCGTGCAACCGAGCGAACGGCAGTCCCAAGACGCCCGAGTACGGTCCGAAGTGGCTTCGAGATGGCTCCGAAGTGGTCCAAGAGGCCCTCTCACCACTTACGCAGGGCCCTGTGTAGATCCCTGAGTTCTCGCTCGCTTACTTGGCACCCCCGCGATCTCTTTCGAAGCGCTTGAGCGCTCCAAGGTGGCCCCACGGCCCTCAATAGGGCCTCCCGACGGCTCTTGAGAGACAAGCCGAGCAATAGCTTGCCCGTCAAACCCCCCACGTCGCGGCATGCCCCCAGACCGTTTGCGCACTTCGTCCTGACGCCTATGCTTGCGGGAGACGACGCCAACCCCAATGCAATCTAACTTGCGAAAAAAAAGGCATCCAAATATCGTTCCACGCAGCAGAAGATTACCCAAAAATGGCCCAAGAGGCCACCGAAACTGTCGAATATACCTCCAAGAGAACCCGACACTGCAGCAGCATCGCCCCCTTCTGTCTTAATGGTTCCCTTCTTTTCTCCGTTTTCGGTCTCTTCACTCTCCAGGATAGCCCAGTCGCTTCCAACGCCGCCGCAGGATCGCCACAAAGGCTTGCAAGACGGCTTCAAAACAATATCACAAGCTTTCCAGACGGACTGAAAGACTGTGAGAATGACTGCCCAGTGAAGTGCATTCGTCGGGCCCACGAACGCCTCACGTAAGGCCAGGAGCCCCAGATGCCTCAGCGACGGCCCCATTGACACAACCGCGCGCTGCTAGGACAATTCACCCCGTTCCGTCCCTTGTCGCTTCGCCATGACCTGTCCGCGTCACCCCGCCGTCCCGAGCGCCTTCAGTTCATATTTCCCTATGGGTGGACGCATTCTGCCCAGAACCCTGGTTCGCACTCATGTTTCTTCAAATTTTGTTCTTTCGACCCCAGAGTTTCCACACGTTCCATTCCCAAAACGCTTCCATGACGGTTTCACAGCTTCCCGAGATTGATTTCAAAACGTGGTAAACAAACCACGCCCCGACAAAGCCACCCTCCCGTCCGAAGAGCCCCAGGAGGCCGCAACAGGTTCGGGTTGAGGGACCTCGCTGTCATCAGCCCCCCCCATCCTATATTCCATGCGTCTGGGTCATGGGTTCCGCCTGCTCTTCGAATAATTTCGCGTCGGGACCTGTGGTGCGATGGTGCCGAATGAAACGGCACTGTTGGCGAGCCGCGTCGAACGGCGAAGGCCCAGCATTGCATCCTGCTGTGCATGAAGGAGGCGAGCAGCAGGACCAAGGAGAACGCACAGGTCTTGGTGAAGGAGGGAGATGGAGGGAGCAACACAACATGAGAAAGGACAGGAGGAGTAGGAGGAGGAGGAGGCTAACTACCATGACATACATAAATCAGTCAGGGCCTCACACGTCCAAACCGTGCCGTTCGCAACTTTATGTTGGAAGCTTCTCCAGCCTTTGTGGCGTCGCCACGACATTTAAGATGCGTCACCCTTCCCAGCTGTAGCGATTCGTCGGCACTTTCGTGATAGCTTCTTGGAGAGAACCCCGAGACAAATGGCAGCTGTCATCGTCCTTACACGATAAAACTCATCCCGCCTTGTTCTCCTCCTTTGTCCTAGCCCCTTTGGCTCAAGCCCCACGGAGGCCTTCTGAGCCTCCTTTTGGCTCGTGCGCTGCACGAAGCAACTCGTCCGAAACAGCCTGCTCAAAGGCACACTGGCTCCGTCTCAACTTTCGTCGTTTCGGCGGGACCTGCTGCCGAGGCATGAAATCGTGCCTGGCACTGCCGTGCACATGACGACGCTGAAAGCAGAGGAACTGCGTGAACATATTCGTTGCCTCCCACTCCTTCCCCCCTGCTCCTCCACCTCCTCCTCCCTCTTCCGCCTCTTCCTCGTCTTCCTCCTCCTCCACCTCCTTCTCTTCGAACTCTTCCTCCTACTCCTCCTCTTCCAGCTGTGTTTCGCCCTCTTCCTCCTCCTCTCGTCCTCCTCCTCCTCTTCCCCATTCCTTCCACGTCCTGCCTTCCATCTCCCCATTGTCACTGTCCCCCTCCTCCTCCTCCTCTTCCTCCTCCCCCTCCTCCTCCTCCTCTTCCCTCCAGTCGCCTTTCATTAGTTGATCCTCCCCGCCATCCACGAGTGGCGGTCGGCGCCCGTGCCGTGGAAAAAGAGTGGGCGGCGTACCGCGACGCCGTGGGAGCCGACGCCTCGGGGGAGAACCAGACATCCACGTCAGAAGCAGCGAACACGAGAAGGTGGCAGGCAAAACGTCGAGGTGACAGAATGTGGCAGAAGGCGGCAGACAAAACGTCGAGGTGGCAGAAGGTAGCCACCTTCAAGCACGAGAAAATACGCTTTTGAAGGTGGCAGACAACACGTCGAGCGCCATCACGTCCGTGTTGACCCTGGACCCCAGCCAGTGCAGGCACGCGACTCGCTCGCGTTGGTCATGGAGTTCCTCCACGGCCCGGTGGCCCTGAAGATCCTGCACGAGAACGTGGAAGACGTCGCCACGACAAAAGGCGTCGCCTCCCATGTGAACGCCGTGCTCGCCGCGCACACCGGCTATCCCGCTGAGCTCCTTGTGGCAAGCTTCAACCCGTGGGTCCTCACCCGCAAGAGCTTGAAAAAAAACCTGCGCGGAAAGCGGAAGGCCGCCTCCGAGCTCAGGAAGATCGCCGCCAACAGCCAACGACTCCAGGACGCGGTAATCCAGCTGAAGCACCAGTGGGGCAGTGTGGACAAGGTGCTGGCGGCCTCGTCGGCCGAGCTGGCCAAGGTGCTCGAGACAAGCCCCGGCTGGCGCAGCCCCCCGGCGAACAACTTCCTGCGCTTCCGCCAGCCGACAACTCGGTGCAGCGACTATGGCGGGTACGCCACTTCGTCACAGGTCGTCCTCGCGGGCTCAGGGCATCGCTGGGCGCTTTTCCAGCGCCTGGGAACCACGGCGTGGTTTCCTTGGAAGCAGTTCCGGAGAGGCAAAAAAAGTATTCGCCAGACTTCCTTTGGATTCTGCATCGCTGGAGAGAAATACTTCTCTCTGGCTGTTGCAGAAATCTCCATGTTCAGTTCTGTGGCGTCTGTTTTTGGTCAGTTGCGTCGACGGGCCGGCGAGTCCGAAAGGTGGCCGCCCTGGAGAGCAGCACCGCCGCTGGCCTCCAGCTGTGGACCGTCTTGCCGCGCCAGTGCGCCGGCGAGCGGGCAGGCGCTGACGGCGGCGCGAAAAACTGGCGACGAAACGCCACAAGACCCCCGCGCTGGAGCGTCTGTTCAGGTGGGCCGGCAAGGCGCTGCTCCCGTAGTACGGGATGCAGTTCGCTTTCTGCGAAAAGAACCAGCTGCTCTCTCGACTCGCAGGCCCAGCCCCCCCAGACGAGGAGGCCGGCGACGAGAGCGACGTGGCGGCGGGGACGACAACGAATGCGAGCTCGCTGCAACGCCAGCCGCCGGCGGCGCGTGAGACGAGCGGGCCTTGGGGTACGGCTGCCGCTTTCGCCCCCTGCCTGCCATTGGGCTTCTCGGGAGAGGTCGCCCGCGGGGTTGGGCGGTTTCTGCAGCGGCGCTTTTCGGCGCGGCGCAGGCAAAAACCATTGCC